TCATCTCTTCCCTCTCCCCCTTGATCTGGATCGGGGGGGGCGTACGCCCGATTCCGCCGCTGCCTGACGCGGCCTGGATCCGTCCCCATCGCTCTGACGCCGTCGCCTTGGACCTCGCCGCCTCGTCCTCAACCGCCCATCGCCGGACCGCATCGCCTCCCCCTCTTCCCCGAGTTGGATGCGCTGCTGCCCGAGAACCTCGCCGGAGGCCACGACGCCAGAGCCACCCCGCCGGCCTGCATCCTCTCCGTCGTCGCCTCGTCCACGTCCTCCTCCTCGCGCCCCACTGCCAATCCCCTATACGCGCGGTGAGGCCCGACCTCCTCTCCCCTCTCTCCTCGCTGAACCGCGTTCGCCCCGCACCTGGCGCCCGTGGCCTTGCCTCGCACACGGCCCGCCCCGCGCGTGGCCGCCTCCGCCGGTCTGCTGTCCCTCGCCTTCGTGCAGACTACCCGCCGCTCGCCCCGTCGCCGGCGCCCTCGGCTCCGTCGCATTCCCTGCTCCTCCTGCTGCCCGCACCCCTTATTGCTGTTCTACATCACCGGTGTCACCCTTCGTTGGCGCCGCTCGCCGTCGACCACCCGCAGTGCCCTTATTGCAGCCTCATTTCTGGCCGTCGCCCCCTGTCGTCCTCGGCAAGCGCCCAAACAGGCTGGGCATCATCGCCCGCTAGCACCCGCCACGCGGTGGCCCTCTGGGCCACTGACTAGGGGGCCCCACGGCCCAGAATAAAATAAATAAATAAATAAAATGAAAATTAATTAAATTAATTAACTTAATTAAGCCCAATTAATTAATCTAATTAATCCTGTCTACTAACCTAATCACTTAGTTAAGACTAATTAAGCTCTGTTTAGCTAATCTGTGACATTGACGAACGGGACCCACGCGTCTGTTGACCCAGTCAACAGACGGTTGACTGATGACATCATGCTGACGCCATATTTGCAATTTCGAATTTAATTAATTCTGTTAATTCTAAAAATGTTTTAAAACTTTGAAAATTAATATAAAATAAACTGTAACTCGGATGGGAAAACTTTATACATGGAAGTTGCTCAGAACGACGAGACGAATCCGGATATGCAGCCCGTTCGTCTGCCACACATCCCTAGCATAGCGAACATGCAACAATCTCCCTCCGTTTCATCTGTCTGAATATGTCAAACACCGGGAATACTTTTCCGGATGTTTTCCCCCACTTCACCGTATCACCTATCCCTGCGTTAGATCACCCCTGGCACCCTGGCAGCGCGTATTGCCATGTTATGATTTGTGATGCTTTGATTGCTCTGTTATTTATTGTGTTCCCCCTCCGTTACTTCTTTCCAGTAGACCTCAAGACTGCTGCTGGTACCCCTGTGATCGACTACATCGACGACGAACCCTTCTCTTGCCAGAGCAACCAGGCAAGCCCCCCCCCCTTGATCACCAGATATCGCCTATTCTTCTTTATATTGCTTGCATTAGAGTAGTGTAGCATGTTACTGTTCGGTTACTCCTATTCTGTTGCATAGCCTGTCATTGTTGCTACAGTCATTGATACCTTACCCGCAATCCTAAATGCTTAGTATAGGATGCTAGTTTACCTTTAGTGGCCCTACATTCTTGTCAGTCTGCCATGCTATACTATCGGGCCGTGATCACTTGGGAGGTGATCATGGGTATATACTATACATACATACTATTCAGGTGGTGACTAAAGTCGGGTTGGCTCGTTGAGTACCCGCAAGTGATTACGATGTGGGGGCTGAAAGGACAGGTGGCTCCATCCTGGTAGAGGTGGGCCTGGGTTCCCGACGGCCCCCGACTATTACTATGTGGCAGAGCGACAGGGCAGGTTGAGACCACCTACGCGAGAAGTGGGCCTGGCCCTGGTCGGCGTTCGTGGTTGCTTCATAATAACACGCTTAACGAGATCTTGGTATTTGATCTGAGTCTGGCCACTGGCCTATACGCACTAACCAACTACGCGGGAAAGATATGGGCACTCGACGTCGTGGTATCAGCCGAAGCCTTCGTGACATCAGCGACTGAGCGGCGCGCGCCGGGTTGGACTGCGTTAACGCAACTTCCTTTGTGATGGAGGTTGCTAGGTCTGCTCACCTGCCGCCCTCGCAACGTGCAGGTGTGCAATGGGCGATGGGCCCAGACCCCTGCACGCATAGGATTTAGACCGGCGTGTTGACCTCTCTGTTGTGCCTAGGTGGGGCTGTGACGTGTTGATCTTCCGAGTCCGGGCATGACCCAGAAATGTGTGTCCAGCCAAATGGGATCGAGTGTATTGGGTTATGTGGTGCACCCCTGCAGGGAAGTTTATCTATTCGAATAGCCGTGTCCCTCGGTAAAAGGACGACCCGGAGTTGTACCTTGACCTTATGACAACTAGAATCGGATACTTAATAAAACACATCCAGACAAGTTCCACAGATAACCCGGTGATCACTTTTCCACAGGGCGACGAGGGGAGGATTGCCGGGTAGGATTATGCTATGCGATGCTACTTGAAGGACTTCAATCTACTCTCTTCTACATGGTGCAAGACGGAGGCTGCCAGAAGCGTGGTCTTCGATAGGACTAGCTATCCCCCTCTTATTCTGGCATTCTGCAGTTCAGTCCATCGATATTGCCTCTTTACACATATATCCATGCATATGTAGTGTAGATCCTTGCTTGCGAGTACTTTGGATGAGTACTCACGGTTGCTTTTCTCCCCCCTTTTCCCCCTTTCCTTTCTACCTGGTTGTTGCAACCAGATGCTGGAGTCCAGGAGCCAGACGTCACCGTCGACGACGACTACTACATGGGAGGTGCCTACTACTACGTGCAGGTTGCTGACGACGACCAGGAGTAGTTTAGGGGGAACCCAGGCAGGAGGCCTGCGCCTCTTTCGATCTGTATCCCAGTTTGTGCTAGCCATCTTATGGCAACTTGTTTAACTTATGTCTGTACTCAGATATTGTTGCTTCCGCTGACTCGTCTATGATCGAGCACTTGTATTCGAGCCCTCGAGGCCCCTGGCTTGTATTATGATGCTTGTATGACTTATTTTATTTTAGAGATGTATTGTGATATCTTCCCGTGAGTCCCTGATCTTGATCGTACACGTTTGCGTGTATGATTAGTGTACGATTGAATCGGGTGCGTCACATGAATATAGCATATACAACTAGCACATGTACGAGGGATGAACAAATCATACCCTTCCGGTTGACCTAGCCAACACGACGGCGACATCACCAGCCTCGAGTTCGTCCGTGTCCTTCTTGGCGGCGACGTCTTCGACCATGGTGTCGACGGAGGGAAAGTAGTGGAAGCAGAGGAGGGCGGAGACGGATCTGGAGCAGTCATGTTGAGACGCTCCCAAAAAACCTTATTGTCGTTCTCCCGGGCAGGATCTCAAACGACAGGGTTACGAGGCACCTGCTCTCCCGACCAACCATGCACGCGATCGCCGGAAGCAGCACAGAGAGAGGAACAGTAGATGGTCCTGGGCCGCAAACAACCCACGGTCCAACATCTCGGACGGTGGCACTTCCATAAGCGACTCGTTAATTAATCCATATGGATTAATTAACCATTCTTGACCGACAAAAATAAGTCTCGGCTCATTCCTGCGCCGCGCATGCGTCATGACGAGGCGAGGCAGGCGGCGGAGGAGGAGGAGCGCGTATGTACATCTCCGTTTTCCAAGCTCACAATGGCATGTGGTAGGGCAACCCTTATAAAGGGGTCTCACTCTTCTTATATGGTACTAAACTTCCCACCACTTGCCATGCACGCCTTTGAGATTAATCAGGGATTATTGTGTTATATGGGCCTAAGCCCATCTATAATCCAACACCTGTAGTGGGAACCATGACAAAGATTCACATTGTGCCGCGCCGAGGATAGCGTCCAGTCTTGTTGCACTCAATACTGCAACAAGGGAAAATGGAGAGAGAGCAGGTTCACGCGGGTCCCAACCCAAAGAAAGAAAAAGCCCATCCATCAACCATCATCTTCTCCCTCCCGTGACTCTGCTCCCTCCCCCACCCAGTCCTTCCTGCTCCCTCCCTCTATTCTTCCACTTCACTTCCCCCTCAATCACTCGCCACCCACCTCCTTCCTGCTCTGCTCTCCTTCCACACCACATTCCCGTGAGTCTCTCACCGCAGAAGACTGAGTAGATCTAGGAGGGCGCGATGGGTTGAGGAGCACTCCCTCGGTGTGGATGATTTGCTTGCTTAGTTGAGCAGCGATTCCTCACCTCCATCTGGCAGCAAGCAGAAACTTATAGAGGTAAATCTGATTCCTTTCGGTGTGATTCGTACTGGAGTTTATTCTACTGGCACTTGATTCTTCTGTTCGTCCTGCTCAATATCTCATCCTGGTGGAATTGTTGTCCTGTTTGGGTGCCCTACCAGATCGTTGGTAGCCAAGCTGCAACTTGTAAAAGCGATTTTGATTTCCTTCAGCAGTCTATTTAGTATTTGCACGGCATTGATGACGGCAGATGCACTAACCAGTGAACTCCTTTTGATTCATGGACGCAGGTGCGGTACTGAGAGATCTCT